ATTCAAAATGGCTAAAATTGACCCTATTTCACCATTTTACCCTACTTGTTGATTGGAAAAAGCAATTTTGCAATGGGAAAACCTACAAGAAGTACAAGAAACGAGCCTTTAGGTTGTAAATAGCTATTTTTGTGCGTTTCGAAATTGGAAGTGTTTGCGCAATAATTACTGCCGGCCAACCATGAAAATTCCTGAACTTCGATGGTGTCTTACAGAGATTACATTCAATAACCCAAGCCAATTCCCAGGTATGTTTTAAATGAATGTCTAAATGTGTGATTTAAATAGCATGAGGAGAATTTGGAGTTATACCACGTGTTAAATATTGCCGTCGAAAATGAGTAACGAACTTAAATTTTAGTTATCCTGAAAACCTATCCCTCGTTCTTTAATTAGTTCAGTGCGACGAGCTTCGCTATTGCCCTGAAAGTATCTTAAGTGGAAGAAGAATAATTTTTCTGTTCATGAAAAGTGTCCAAATTTCTCCATACGGCTTCGTTTGCGAACGCGAGGAAAGTTACTGTTAACGAATTTCAGGTTAAAAATTAGGGCGCAGTCTGAGGACCTCTGAAACTCAGTCGGACATCGAAAACCGATCTTCTAACTTTTCTCACAAATAAAAAGCTTTTGGCAGGAACAATCTACTTTAGGTTTCGTATCTACCTAAAAGCTATCTATGAACAAAAAAATGAAAGAAATTGATTTTTTAACTCTTGCCACAAAATTAAGATTTTGGTCGATAAATAATTTTCCGAAAGTCGTATGGGACCTACTCATGGTGGAAACCTTTTTAAATATAGGCATACACCGTATGGGCTAAGAGGCGAGGGCTCAAATTCATTGGAATAACCTAATTTTAATCTTTAATTTAAAAAGAATTCTTTCACTTATTTATTTTAAAATGAAGTTATGGGACAGTTTGCCCGGTCAGGTACGTCCTCCGTCTTTCAAGTGATGCAAATGACTTCAAAAGAAAATTTGCAAGATTGTAGCTTTTTTATAGAACGTGTCTTGAAGTTTTCCTTTCACGTTTGTAGTATACAGTTGTTGGTAGGTTTTAGCTTTTTATATTTTATGTTTTTATTTCTAAGTTTTTATATATTTATTGAGTTGTTTTTAAAATAGAATAATATAGCTGTAATTATTATAGATTTTATTTATACACGTTCGTATTTTGAACGAGTTTTTAGCTCTTGGATGTAACGTGCTAAAATAAATTATTCATTGATTGATTGACTGACACTAATCAACACTTGAGCAATTTGTTTTTAATTGGTGCAACGAACGGATCACGTTTTAGCATAAAAAATTGGCATAATGATTTTACCGTTTCTGAGTTCGAAGAAATAAGTTAAATTTCAACTGTACTAAACACTGAAGTGCTGAAAAATCAGCACCTATCAGTATTATTAAGATGGTAAATTAATATTCAATCGATCCTGATAACTTGAATACCCCTTAAATCGAACTGTTTTTCGTGTTCCTTCATCGGGTTACCGGGGTTCTACTGTATACGAGTTGCTCAATTAATTTTTTATATATACTCGTATGCTGGAGACAAATCGTCCCCCTACACATATGGCTTTCAATAACTTTTGAAGTAGGTTTTTAGTTGAAAGAAGCGACGTTTTGCGAGAATATCCCTTCCTATTAGGAAGTTTACTGCCACTGTACTGCCAGACGTTCGTACACTTCCAGCATTTCAATATTCGAAGTAATGATTTCCCCGGGGGGTGGACTCCCATATGAAACAGACGGGGATGCTCGTCGAAAATTTTGAATTTAACCCCTAAAGGAGACCATCTGGGCGTGGCTCAAGCTTTTTGTAACCCCTAAAGGAGACCAATTTGGGCGTGGCTTAAGCAAATTTTGACCCCTAAAAGAGACCGCTTAAAAACACACAAATACGACATGCAATGAGTTTTAATGATATAAAGCAGGAGCCTAACATAATCATCGAATCCTTTTATCTAATAGTAGTTTTTAAAAGCATTGTCATAAATCTTAAGTTCTTTGCGGAACCCTAAACGAGACCTTGGCGGCTTAAAATATTGGCGCTTTGCCCGGAACACCCTAAGCGAGACCAAAATCCAAAATTTACACCCCTAAGCGAGACGACGAGCATCCCCGTCTGTTTCATATGGGAGTCCCCCCCCCCGGGATGATTTCCCGGTTAACAAATCTGCTATACTTAGCTTCAACCAAATTTACATCCCTCTATAACAGACCCAGTGAAAACCCTTTCTTAACTGGGTTCTTGAAGAAAAGGTCACTGGGTTGGTCTATTTTCCACAGGGTTTTTATTCCTAAATGTGTACTTCCCATAAGAGAGGAAAGGGGTGGCAGGTCTTCCATCTTTACCCGCATTAACATATTTCTGTAGCGAGAGGAACTAAACGATTTATACTCTTTTTATGCGACATTTATAATGATTACCTGTACCCTCCGTATTTTGTTTTTGTCTATGGTAATATAATGATTTATATTTTTGCTTATCTTTTAAGCAAATATGAACAACGGAATACACTGGCCTTGTAGATAAAGTTATTGTGATAGAAAGCGACCGGGGAAGCAAAAACGATCCTCCGGGTAGAAACACAAACTATTCGCCGGGTATCTTGGAAGCTAAATTAACACTAGGTACACTGATTTAAAGCACTAAGTAGGGTTTCAATGGGTCTGTTACAGAGGGGTGTAATTTTTTCACAATTCTAGTGCTTAACGACGAAACTACAGTAGTGAAATCAAACCAGTCATGCTGCAGTAAGGCATTTTCAAGGATTACGTGGTTTCCTCTATATTCTTCGGCTCAGTCTTCTGTTCTCTTGCATAGCAAACGCCTTGACCCCATCATTATTGTTCAGCAAAAAGTGGCCAAAGGGAATTACCCTCACTGAGCATATTACATCCTTGTTGAAACGATAGCACAATTAACGACGACTCTGCAACTTTACTACTGATTCAAGACTCCGATATTGTTTCGTCTCGTTGACGAATAAACTCATTGATTAAAAAAAAAGCCAAAAGAATTATCTTTCTCTACCTTTTTTTAAAATAATATTTCTCAACCTCTTTCAGCAGGCTTAAGTTGCTAGAATATTTGAAAATTTATTTTTTTGTTTGTTTTGCGGGAAATCTGTTTTACCGACTACATTATTCTGCAATACTATCGCCGCGGTTGAAAAATATTTATAGTTGAGTGACATAATAACAAACAGGATGAGAAAGTAGTTAGTGTTCCGGAGTTTATCGACAGCCCGTCGCTCAGATAGGACACCTCAGTATGACGGATGTTTAAAATAAGCGCTCAGAGCTCAAAACCAATCTGGACCTACAATGGACCCACTGCCAAAGGAAATGCGTGCCGATCTTGTTTTAACACGAACAGAATTACCGAAACAAAAACTGTGTGCAAGGAGGTATAATAACTGAGTCAAAAAACCGAACAACACATATTAGACTGAGTACGTTATTCAAGTTGTCTACCCAGCAATGAAGTTGATTTTGGTTTTTGCTTTCGTTTTTTCTCTCGGCGTGTTGACTCTGTTGGCGGAAAGTATTCCCCGGCAAGAAGACAGCCAAGCGCTCGTGTCAAAGCAGGATGATCACTCGGTAAATTACCGTTCTGATTCGCAGAACAGACTTAAGAGAGGAACCCACTCAGGTTTGTTGAATAATCACTGGTCCTTTGATCTGCTCGGTGATCTTCTTTCTCGCTCATCGGACGCTGTGGTTCGCTTGGCTCACATTTTTCGCGGTCGCGCTCGGCTTTCACATAGTCCCACAGTGCCAGTTCTCAAGTTAAATCATATCTCTAACTTCAGTCGTCGTTTTTTCTCTGAGATGATTATCGTAACCCAAATTAACCACATAACTCAAAAGAAAGTCAAGTTAGCATTCTATCATAGGTCCCAAGAAAAGCTTGAATGCCTAGACTACGAACTGCTCTTTCGAGCTCTTTAACACAATCTGCGGCGCTTGAACACCCAGAACAATTCCACCGGTGCGAAGATCTTTGATTAAACGAACATTCTGGACACCTCAGTTAGGTTTTGAGTACTTATTATCTTAAGTAGCATTTTGTATCTAAATTCCCTGAGTTCATTATGTATAATGGCACTGAGAATTTGAAAATGATGACATGAAGCCAGCGAGACGTCATTCAACATCACAGTCACTGATTTTTATTCTCAACTGTTGTCGCCGAAAACTTCCGTTATCAGAGTTTAATATCTAAATGTTTTGAGAAATCGCTTCTTATCGATATAATTACCATCAACCGAATTGCAAAGTTAAATAAAACTGTTGGGAAAAAAAAATTACAAGGGAGATTATCGAATTAAATTGCAGCCAGTTAAACATCAATCAGTTTAAGAGAAGTTACATCTTATTGTTGCAGTTCGCTGGCGCAAAGTAAACAAGTGGCCAGTATGTTTTGAAGCCAAAGGCAACCAGTTCGGAAGATTTTACGTCCCGGGGGGAAGATTAGCTGCCATAAAGCTGGTACATCTGTACGGATACGTGTCCTGTCACGTTCACGGCCCATCTTTCTGGTCCTACTGGGGCTGTGGCGACAATCCGTCGATGGGGTTAAACACTCAAGTCAACGCTGTCATCACAGACTCAAGCAACCACATTCTACTCCCGCCAATTCAGTTCCAGAAGATCAGCAGCTTAAAGTGGTACAGGGTTCCCGGATATAATTCCCTCTCACCTGAGCTTGTTCTGCCATTCTTTTCGTCTCCGAAATGGGTCCATTCCAACCAAGAATTACGCGTGTGGTACGGTGAAAACTTGGTCAAGAACAACGGAGATAACGGAGGAAAAGTGTGCGCTGATGTCTATGCTCTCTTTGTGTGACTGAAGAGACGCAATTGCTGCTTTTTCTAAGGGTTTTAAAAAATGGAAGGGATAAAGGGAATTTTGGTATAGCATCTTTTTCACTTGAATCAAGTTCGACATGAACTGTGCTCGTTTCGTCTATCAGGAGTCATTATTCCTATAAGTATTTTTTAAGAGAAAACAAAAGTTAAGATTAAATGATTTTCATACATTGTAAAAGTGCAGCAATAAAACTGATCGTAAAACACATTTTCCGAGTTTTCTGATTTTGTTGCGGGGGCAAACTTCTACAATACCAGGCGCCTGTTGCAATAAAAACCCAATGTCAAACGGAACTGCTTACGTTTAGACTAGAGTTAAAATAAAGAGTTTGACTAGGCTGAACGTCAGAGAAAACTACTAACGTCCGCATGGCGTTAAATTATGAGTTTGAATGAACTGAACCTCAGACGCAACTGCTAATAAGAAAGGGTTTGACTGGGGCATGTACAAAAAGGGGAGGGGAGGAGTGGTCGAAGAAAAATGTGAAACCACGGAGGTTATTTCAAAACACGAATTGCGACTAGCAGCGAATCTGCATCCGAAACAAGATAGAGGAAGTTGATTGACGTAACAGGTCCTTAGCAGCGCCAAATCCCATAGTCCCTTCATTATCAGATCGCCCCAGGCATGATGGGGGAAGAGAGGGCTGGTTCTCACACCCCTCCCTATGGTGTCCTGTAATTCTTCCTATTTGAATCACATCAGTGGGGTATCACTGCAAAAAGTAGTCATTTTTTCGGGCTCAGTTCTGAAACGGAGACTGTTACATTCCAAACGAAGTTTTTCTACACAAACTGAAACAAATGTAATTGCCAGTTTGTCTCGTCAGAAGTGCTGTAAGTGATCAAGTTTACAGTTCAACAATCAATTTTGTTGTCAGTGATGACCAGTCCGAACGGCTAGTCTCGAAAAAACTACCGATATCGGCATCTTAAAAACACTAATTTTGAGATACATAAACAAGCTAAAGCTAACGATACAATGTCCCAACGTTACGGCGACTCGATACTAGGGTAAATTTAATAAACCCTTTACAGGTGTACTTTACAATTGTAGCTATTGTTTTCAGACTCTTAAACAACAGCTACACTTTAAATTACCAGTGTAAGAGTTTTATTAAATTGACCCCTGATTCGACTTCAAAGATATATTCAACCGGATATTCTGGGGGGAGGGGAGGGGAGGGGAGGTGGTGCGAATGAGCGCCCGGGATTGGAGCAAAAGTGGCGTCTAAACACACTTTGCACTAAAGGCACAAGACGACCAAACCACTAGTAATTTTTACAGAATACAAATCAAAAAGTAATCACTGAAATTTCACCACATTTTGTTCTAAGATACAATTTATTTTAACCTTCTCATCGTAATATGAAAATATAAATATACATTATTTACATTATATACAATACAGTCAACTCTGTTATAAAGCATACCTCTGTAAGACGCACATCTAAAATAGGGACCTTACGATCTGACAACGGCGAAGCAGTGAAAACGTCATTGAAACCCTGACTTCGCTTTCTTTCACACTCTTTTTCCATTATTCCAACTCGTTCAGAAGGGAAATTAAGCTGGAGTTGAAGAGGGAGGACCGCGTCCCAGATCAAAAAAATGACAGCAAAGCTTGATGCAGGTGCAGAGTTGTTGGTTTGCTTATTACACCCCTTACCTGCTTGACGTTCCCGTTGCCGTCTCCGTCGCAGTATCGTCACGTCCCTAATATGAGACTTAGGATCCTTCCTTTTCTTTAGTTATTTTCTGTAACTCAAGGACACCTCTCTAAGACGAACGAGCACTCAATACTTGTCAGAGGCCCATCAGGGCTCCTGTACCGATCCCAAGCTTTGAAAACATTAATCCCAAGTTTATGGCCAAGTTTTCGTGCTCTCACTCTCTCTTCACTCCTTCAATCTTCACTACAAGGTTTATATTTTTGATTGCGATCCAGTCATGTCAATATCAACCGAACTATCACCTGCACCCAGTCCACTTACGGCCAAGAGATCGGTACCGGAAGTGACGTCAGGCGGAAGACCTCCCACGCCAGCAATGTGATCAAGGTCAAAATCCAATGTGGAGTCCACATCAAAGGCCCCTGAAACGGAAAAACAAAATTAATAGTGTCACGCACCAGACGTTTGAAACCCTTTGACCCCCTTCGTGGATGACCAAGGCACTCACTTTTTATACAAGTGAAAGCAAGAGAATTCCTGGCTCCCAAGGGCTAAGGTGAATGGTGAACTCCCCCACTTCCCCACCCCTAGTTCACGACCCCATACATACACGGTAAAAGTTAAAAAAAAAAGTTAACCAGAATTTTGTTATCGCGCAGGGTAAGAAAGGATGGCAAATATCCAAATATGGCTACTGTAAATAAAGTCATTATTATTATTATTATTATTATTATTGTTATTATTATTATTATTATTATTATTATTATTATTATTATTGTTATTATTATTATTATTATTATTATTATTATTATTATTATTATTATTATTATTATCATCATCATTACTACTAATACTACTACTATTAAATATCGAGCGATTCAACTCCTCTAGAGAAACTGCTTCGCTCATTTGCCGGTCCGGGAAGCGAAGACCATAATTTCTAGAATATTTCCACCTACCGGTGGACCAAAATAGAGTGACTATGAAGTGAAAGGCCCCGGATTATCCCCAATCATCCCGGAGGGTAGGGGATCTGGAGATTTCAAATGATTGGTGCATAACGTTTTCAGAACATTTTAAATGAAATTTTAGCGAGCTACAAACTTGTTATTCACAGTACCTGCGGTTCCCGTTATGCTAGGGTCAGCGGCTCCACTGGCGTCAATGGCCGCATCAATATCGAAGCCTGGGTCCGACACATCAAGTCCAGCAACTCCTGGCCCTGACCAATAAACGTTGGTGGTGATTTTGTTTTGGTAGAAACTTCAGTGCCATTTATACGCAGAAGAGAATAATTTATATTTGAAAAGAAGTGAGGTTTCTATCAAAACAAGATCACCTCCAGTACAGAACTTTCAAATGCTCTACCACCTGGCTGAAAAATCAGGCCAGACACGAAGATTTTAACTTACTAGGTAAAAACAACAGGCTAGGGGTTTATTTTCTTCTATTTTACCATCAAAAAAACCGGGGATCACGTTCATAGTATCAGGGGGAAAGCCCCCGGCCCCAGCTCATAGTGACCGCCCTGTAAAAACATTTGCAGCCTTCCTTCAAGCTTTCAACTAATCTCTGCGTGGAGTGAGATATTTCAGACGGAAGCGGGGATTTTGGGAAGACAAGAATATTAACATACCGTAAAATTCCGAAAATAAGCCCCTCCATGTATAAGCCCCTCCAAACATAAGCCCCTCAAAATCGTACCGCAAAAAACCCTCAGTCAAATCGCCCCTCCGAATATAAACCCCCGGGGGCTTGTACTTGGAATTTGCCCTCGAATACAAAGGAAAACAAAGCAAAAATGGTAAATTTCCTTTCCACTACAAGCTAGCCCTATCGATTTTGAAACCCAAATTTCCCATCGTAAATAAGCCCCTCCGAATAGACGCCCCTCCAAAAATAAGCCCCTCGAAAAGGGCCTTTGAAAAATATAAGCCCCGGAGCTTATTTTCGGAATTTTATGGTAACTAATCCGAAATCCCTGAGACAATATCCGGGGGATATGTGAAAATCTATGGAGGGAAAAAAGTCAAGATGTAGGAATTCTCACATACCTAATCCCGTATCAAAATCCAAAGCCGAACCCCCAGGGACAATGTCCGGGGGGAGATGTGATACTCCCGATAGGTTCTGAAGAATCCCTTCCAGTTCTGTTCCTTCAGCGCCAGCTCCAATATCGAACAGATCCGCTGTAGAGGGCAATCCCTCGATTCCCGAGGGTACAATCCCTAGGGCGCTCACTGCTGCAATAGAATCAGAAGTTGGTACAGCAGCGGGGCCTCCCGTGGATACGACCGCTGATCCATCAAGTCCAGCGGTCACATCCTGGAATGAAGTTCCCATGGAGAAGTTGGCTCCTGACATAGCGGCAAGATCAAAGGAAAAGTGTTCTCCTTCCATGGTGCTGGTATCTGACGTAATAGTGTCGCTTGATTTTGGTACTGTGCCAGCCCCTTGTACCCCGACATTCTCTTCATTTTTCGGCATTTCTTCGGGGAGATGGAATTTCTCGATAACATACTCGTCGTCCCGTTTTCTCTTCAGTGTAATTTTGAGGTTTGTGGATTGTTTCGGAGTTTCTGGCTTCTTAACCGTAGTTACTAATTCTGGAACAGCTGCACTTACTTCAGCTGTTGGAAATGAAAATGTCGGAGAAATTGATGAAAACGGAAACGCACTAAACGTTGGTGAAGGCGTCTCTAACGTGAACGCGGTGAACGATGGAGAAGTTCCATGAAAGACTGGGGTGTTCGGGTTGGACGGAGTCCCCACGGCAGCAGCGAACAGAGCAGCACTGGGAGGGAGTGACAGGCTGGCAAGCTTGGTAGTTGGTTGACTCAGGCCAATGGGGAGCGGAAGTTCTTCACTCGCCTTGACCGGAAGTTCTTCCCACCTGACACTTTGCGCTTTTCTTATGATACAACGCATTGCAGCTGGGATTGACAGACACCTGACGATAAAAAAGAAGTTCAACTTTAAGAATAAATAGAGGCGCCGCCAACCGGTCAGCGTCGGTCTACCAGTGGGGATTTCTTTAGTCCGAACCCTGCCAAAGCGACCAGCCATTGTTTTAGTTCACACATAGTAGGTAGAGGGGACTGGTTATGAAAGGCTACAAACATCAAAAATAACAACAAAAACAGTGTTGCAGTTTAGGTTGAAGGCACCTCTTTGTTTTCTGTTGACAAATTGTGACGGAATAATTAATGCAGCGTTTTTTGTTGGTCCATAAGATAAAAATGATAGGAATGCAATGCTGTTGAACGTTGTGCACCTTCAAGTCCACAAAAAAAAGACATATAACAAAGGAGTCTGACCTGCTCTATAACAATTCAATGCTATTAACTATGATTCAGATGACGGCATCAGTGGGCGATGACTTTTATCCGTTAGCATGTTCTCCTTCACCCTTCTTAATAAGCAAGTGCAACGACAACGGCGACGGCAACAAGAGCGTCATAAAAAGGAATCGGTTTAATGAGCAAAACGGGCCACCTGGAAGCTCTCAGAACAGCTCACAAGATTTGGTAGGAAAACAATAAACAAACAGCAAAATCTATGGACCCAGCCATAAAATAATAGAGCTTCGTGCGAGGAAGAACGAATGAAATAAAAAGTTTTGAAGAGCTTCATGAGAGCAGAGCAGAACAACAACTCTGCACGTGCATTACACTTTTTGGTTCATTTCTTTGCCGCTATTTCACGATGACTATTTTCTGATGTGAAATTTGCTTACGCGACTTCTTATGGAGGATGCCAACAGCCGAAGAACTTATCTTTCACTTTCTTTCCTTGCGTGCGGTCATCAAGAATTGAACTCCGGGAAAGTTCGCATACATTCCACATTTTGAGCGATCTGTTATGTTTGAAGAAACGCGAATTCATTTTTATGGTGACGTTTTGCCGTCGACGTTGAGGGAGCTTTAGCATCGACGACGATCCACAGCAGCAAAAAACGTCACTTTTAAAGTGAATTTCCGTTTTTTTAAATATTTGTCGCGTTTATTCTAATTCACTGAAAACGTCAAATGTCAGCGAATTTCCCTGGAGTTGATTACTAGGGGACTGCATTCATGTTTAGAAAGAGAGAGTAAAATTCGTCCTAGCTTGTTTACGTCATCCGTAAAACGTGAAATTAGGCATTTTCACGTCGTAGTCGTGCAGTGACGGCAAATAAATGTACAAAAAGGCGTAATGCGCGTACAAAGTTGTTGTTTTGCTAATCTAAACCTATTGCTTTTTTGACGTTCTCGTTGTCGTCGTCGTTGCTAAAACTCCCTAATAACAGGCGAATCTTTCTTTACACTTTTTGCCACATTAACATATGCTTATCACTACTGATGACGCTAATGAAATAAGAACTCTGAATACTGAAAGAGTATAATAATTTCAGTTATCTCTGAAAATTTGAGCCCGATACACCCAATGGTTTCGGAGAAATTCTCTTCTAAAGAATCGAAATTTTACAAAGAATGTATGGGTCATTAACTTTTTTGCCATGCCGCAATTTCGCAGTTTTTGATGGCTGATATTTCCTTCAAAATTGCTTCAAAGAGCTGAAGATTGCACAAATTGTTCAATTTAACCAGCTTTTTCGACTTTTGCATTTACTTCAAATATACGGCCACGGCTTCTAAGAGTTAAGTCGTACGCTAATGAGGAAAACTGTACACAATGACGTCAGAAAAGATTCGCCTATTCGAAAGAACCTACAGCACTTTTCGGAAAGGGTAGGAGACATTCATGACGGTGGTGAGGCCTCTGTTTTTGCGATGGGTTAAGGCTAATAAAGGCCCATGCCTCAAGGGCAAACAAGCAAAAAATTAGCAGAGCTAATTAAACAACACAAACAACTGGCTGCACGGCGAAGTACTTCGGAAATAACGCACCTCTCAAAAACTCTAGAGATGTAATCATTTGAACAAAAAAGTGGTTTTCCTGGGACTGTATTGAGGGTTGCCTTGATTGTGTGATCAGCAGTCACGTGAACGTCGACTGAAATTTAAAGAACAGTTAAAGTAAATCCAAACATTTACATTTATCTTATAATGATACATAACAGAAAGACGACATGAAGCTTGCAAGCTAACCGGAATTCAGAGCAAAATATATAAAACATACTTGGCGGTGCCAAGTGCAGATAACGTGTAACCCAAGCCAAGTGCGCAAGTCATGAAAGAGGTTGCAAGCGCAGGAAAACAGAGCTGTAAAAGGCGGCAAACAAGCTAATCAAGTCAAGCGCGGGAAAACAAGCCTTCGTTGCAAAGCGCGGGGAAAAAGCCTGTGATGTAACACGCAGGACAAGCCTAAGGTATTAAAAGCGGGAAACAACTCTACCGAGAAAAGCGCGGGAAAACAGAGCTGCAAAGTTCGGCAAACAAGCCAACCATGAAAAGCGCGGGAAAACAAGCATACGGCACAGAGACCGAGTAAAAAAAACAGCAAACAAACAATCAAACAAACAAAGACAGCGGTGCAAAGAAGGGGAAAAGTCGTCACGAGTGTAAAGCTAACTTTGCCTATGAATGCATAAAGCGCTTTCAAAATTGTTTTCTTGCATGTTCACGTCTCTTTTTTCGCCGAGGGTTAGCTGCGTTATTTCTTACTTACTGGATGCCATGCTCGGAGTACAGGGATGTTCAAATGTCACTGTCAGAGTAAAAGGATCACATGACCGCAATTCAAACAGATATTCCTCACTGCCATCTTCTAAATAAACACAATATATGAACAATTAGATTTGAAACGCATTACTCGTGCGGTTTTCTTTATTTCCGAAAGTCGAAGAACACTTACTTTTCTTAAGGGGCTCATGACTTCTAAACGCACTCGTCATCAGCGTATTAAACATTGCTTGCCTCCGCAGCAACTGAAATTAAAACAACCAGGTATAAAATGTCATCATTATAACAAACAAAATGTCTCATTGACCGGCAGTCGAGGTTTTCAAGTCGCTAAATGACCGACAGTCTAGTCTGTTCTATCTCTAGGTTTCTTTCGATTTTTCACTTCAGAAGGTGCTTTCGTGCTTTAAAAAAATTGAACGGCAAAACCAAGACTACAAACCGATGAGTTCAGTAGCGGGATTTCTGACAGAGAATTTATTTGTAGAAAAACTAACAAACGAAGAAGCATACAAGGGCGCTGCTGGTTTCCGCTGATCGGTCTACTTAGGACCTTACTGTAACCCACAAACCCATGACTTTTTTATAGAACGTGTGAATTGATCAAAGATGCAAAGCTAAAACAAACCACCTCAAAAACTTCCCCTAATATTAGAAAAGTAGTGTGGATTTTTTTTGTCCCCTTCGAATCAACTACAGATAATAAACGAAGGACGAGAACAAGACCTAAGGTTAAACATCATCACATCATTATTATTGCTAAGAACATAACTGAGACAAGATCTTGAATGCTGCCAGCATGATATTACTAGACTATACTCTGGCTGGGGTTAAGCCCGGGACTCCTGAGATTAGCAAAACTGCGCTGGGGGGTTAGCCAGGTGAGATCAAAGCTCGTGCTGAGCAGGGGGGAGAGGATACACAGTGATGTCTCACCTCGATTATTTTTGGAATATGTCTTGGATGAGTGAATGCGATTCTGTACAGCAACAGACCCATCCCAGAAGGCTGCACGAGCTCGTCTGTAGTTGACTGGTTTTCTGTCACGTGATAAACATGGTAGTGTTGAGGCAAACTCTGCAATAATAAAATAAGGAATGGAAATTGGACTCTGAAAACTTTCTAAGGGCTCCTTAGAATGGACTATGTAACGAGGATATGATATTGCTGTTTTACGTCAGTTCCGAGCTGAAGTCTTTACCGATGCAAAAAATGCTCCTCCATTCGGGAGCACTAACCACAGTAGTTATTTTTGTGGTTTCTGCAGGCACAGCATTCAATCTCGAAAAAGCTGCACCAATTTTGTCCAGATTCGATCCATGTCCATCCTTACAACCAGTACAGGCAGACTACGAGAAACAGTTTCATTGCCTAATTAAATATAGCCTTAAAGGTCAAATGAACAAAAAAATTGTCTGTTTCTCTTCTGTTGTTTTACCCTCACCAAATACTAAAATGAACCATCCTAAGTGAGATTTGGGCAAAGATTTTTCTTCCCAAGCCTTTATAGACAGTAAAAGATAAAAATCAAAGCATTGCCGAAGAGTTCAACGAAAATGTTGCTGAAATGACCGCGCGATTGACTGGAGAACATGGAAACGAGCTTTAGACTACGTGACGTCACAGTTTGTGAGCTTGCTGAAGCGATCATCTTTTGCTGAATTTTTGTCTTCAGTGGGTCTTGCTCCTGTTCCCATTTTTTGTCACCGTTGCCCTTGTTTATATTTATATATTACATATTTTTTTAACTTTGAACGTGGAAGTTGAGTCGTACCAGTTTCGGCCAACCTTTTCAAAAGAATAATCTGCTTCGGATGACTCAACCGATGGATTCTTGGACGACGCCAACGAGAATCGAATTGGTAATGTGGAATGGTGAGCGTTTCGTTTGCTTCCTCTGTTAATCGTTGCTGAAAAGTTGGCAATAATTACTGTTCAATTCAACTCTAGAAAGGTTTCTGTTTTCAAACTGGACCATTATTTTTGATGCGAAGACACGTTTTAGCTATTTTAGAAACATAATAGAGTAGATAGTGCAACACACCTCCTTTAAATGAAAGCCGCAGTTGTTACCTTTATAGTCGCTTAAATAGGCAAATTTCAACGTTGCCTTTTCTTAAATTTCGATTAGTCATGCTTGGGATAAAATGGCTGATATGCGTTCACAGCGTTTCTATCAATCTCACCAAAAATGCTATTTCTTTAACTGCTTCGAGAGTATTTTGGGTGTAAAAGGTGACGTCAACTAAATTGTGGCTTATAACTGGCTCCATTCGCAAGAAAGCACGCAACCTGTGCTTGTTATAATGTTGATATATGAAAGAAGTCCCATCATAGCCTTGTTTTCGTGAATAAAGCACGTTGTTGTTCAACCGCCACCTTGGAGTGCCGTCTACTTTATTTCTCGCCTCTTCTCTGGTTTAAAACATTGTGTACGATTGACGCAGTACCAAACACGGGAAAACTACAACTGGGGCTAAGAGCAGCAAAATCTGTAGCTTATTCTTGGAGCTGAGAAAAAATAACATTTTTTCGCAATCGTTTGAAACCTACCGCATAATATGTGTTCCCATGTTCACTTGGTAAAACATTTTTCTGTTTTAACCACTGTGAAGTGAAAACAAACGGTAACATAAGAAAAAAACAAGCAAACAAGCAAACAAGCAAACAGACAAAATTAAGCAAATGAGAACATTAAGATTACCACACAAGCTAATTAACTTTGCTGAACACCTTACCTCTCTTATGATAAGACTGTCGATAGGTACTCTTGAAGAATGAGTGAAAGTTCCTACAAGACATAACAGATAAAGAATAAACTGTTGTCTCCGTGAATAATAATCACTACAAGCCACATTACTACTAATAGTCCCACAGCAAATCGACATCATCGCCTGATGAAGACTGGCGGTTTGCCGTCGAAACTTCGCCATCAATAACAGAGTGACTATCACACGAACACTATCAAATAAGCACCACGATGGAACAATATCTTTCAATATACTACAGTCGAACCTCGCTATTTCGAACTCGGTTAATTCGAAGTCCCCGCTATTTCGAAGGAAGATCGAATGCCCTCGGATTTACCCTTCCCCTTTACGCTTCCCCGGTTATTTCGAAGCCCCGCTATTTCGAACTTTTTTTCATTTCCCTTGGGACTTCGAAATAGCGGGGTTCGACTGTATATGAAATTAACTGTTTTGATTCTCTCTCTCTTTAAGTATATTTTTTAAATCTCCCCGGCTTCGACTTTTCTTGTAGTCGAATTCTAGTGTTGTTGATTCTCCTCCTTGTATCTAGAGTTTATTCTTCAGGAATTCCGGTTTTTCTCTCCTCTCAAAACTTACAAATTTCACTTCCATCTGCAATGCAGGATCATCCATGTGTTTGCGCTAGTTCTCAAGACAGGATTTATTTCAGCTATATAAATCTTGCCTTTAATTTTGCCATGACTGTTTTTGGGGAGCAGTCATCTTCATTGTTCAATAGATTCAATAAGCCTCCATTTTATATTTGTTGTTGTTATTGCAGAAAGATTTCTTTGATAACGAAAGCAATATCCAGAAACGGAATTATGGAATGAATCTAGCTAAAAAAAGAAATAAGTTAGTAATGGACAGTGATGTGTAGTAATGGATAGTGATGTGTAGTGATGGATAGTGTTGTGTAGTAATGGACAGTGATGTGTAGTAATGGACAGTGATGTGTAGTGATGGATAGTGATGTGTAGTAATGGATAGTGATGTGTAGTGATGGACAGTGATGTGTAGTAATGGATAGTTATGTGTAGTGATGGATAGTGATGGATAGTAATGTGTAGTGATGGATAGTGATGTGTAGTGATGGACAGTGTTGTGTAGTAATGGATAGTGATGTGTAGTAATGGATAGTTATGTATAGTAATGGATAGTTACGTGTAGTGATGGATAGTGATGTGTAGTAATGGATAGTGCTGTGTAGTGATGGATAGTGACGTGTAGTGATGGATAGTGATGTGTAGTGATGGACAGTGATGTGTAGTGATGGATAGTGATGTGTAGTGATGGACAGTGTTGTGTAGTAATGGATAGTGATGTGTAGTAATGGATAGTTATGTATAGTAATGGATAGTGATGTGTAGTGATGGATAGTGATATGTAGTGATGGACAGTGATGTGTAGTAATGGATAGTGATGGGTAGTGATGGACAGTGATGTGTAGTGATGGACAGTGTTGTGTAGTAATGGATAGTGATGTGCATTAATAACAAAAAGTAAGTAAATACTTAAAGGAAAGACTTTCACGTGCTCTTCACGTGACTTGACACGTTTTACCAATAGCCTACTTCTTTCTTTACCTGATTTACCGACGACTTCATAGATTCTTTGCACAACTTCCACAGAAGCTGGAAGGGGTTTACAGAGCTCGAGCACAAATGATGCCTGGAACTCCTCGCTGTTGTTGTCATTTAATGACTGGTACTTAATGCTGTTAAAAAAGGACGACATTTTAATAGACAGATTTAGCAAAAATGAACGTGACAACAGTCAGTGACGACAGCGAGCTTTGACGACGCGCGCACATCTAAACAACGGATTGACCAATGACAGAGCAGCAAATTGACCACCGAAAGCCCAGGTACAGTCCTTTTCGCGCGTTTTCGCGCTCTCACTAGGAAATTCAGTTTGAGGATATAGAACAACCTACCCCTCCCCTAATCCAACATTTTGCCCTAAGAAAGAAGTAAGTGTTGATGTTGGCTCAGGGGAGGGGTAGGTGGGTAGTTTCCCAGAGTCGTATAATGACCCCAAAATTGACTAGTCCAGAAGTTTTGGCTTTGACGACTTCAGAGGCTTGATGAGCCTCCTGCTCTACTACAGGGACCAGGACTCTTTAGACTTAAAGAGAATGGAAACTGACTGCTACAAGGCCCGTTTACGTTTTATTCCTATTTCTGCTGCTCTTTGAGAAGCGATTTTAACCTCGAGTTTTATTGTGCATGTAAGGTTCATACGATGTACACACTCCTCGCGCTAGGTGGATGTGGATACCTAAATAAAGTACAGCTAAGGAGAGAAAATCTCGCCCTCACAGCCTATATTATCCTTGAAGAGCAGAACGATCCTCGGTGTTGACCAAAAGGATCGCAGCCCCTGGGAACGAGTTTGTAAGTAGAGAGAAAAATAGCAGTAACATTTACTACGTTATGAGGGTATGATTCATGACTCTTACTTGGAATCCCATCCCAGCACGTTATAACGCATTGGCTCCATTATCAGGGGACTTGTGGGTAGTGAAGTCCTCTCTGACTGCTCCATTGACACGGATACCTGGTAACCAAAGTCTCGTGGAGGAGGGTCTGTCAAAAACAATGAAACCATCAAGCCTGTACATAATGTTTTTATTTAACCAATTCGACGCCGTCAAGGCGTTATTTGCCACTTCCGAATGGGGTGAGTTGACTTTTGCAAAGACTGCAAATTGGGACGGGGACAAAATTGGCCAATAGCTGACCGGTGCGTCCTCGGTAACGATCCTTGAAACAATCGCCGGACTCATTTCACCCCTAGTTACCTTCTCATTTCTAAAGTGGTAAATGTCAAACCATGGTAACGGAACTTCGTGTCGTCCACGTCTGTTTGAATTCTCGGCGTCATAAGAAAGAATGGACACAAGCTTTCAGCGCAATGATTTCAGGGATCGTTTGGAGGGACCAAAGCTAAATAAATTGATGGTATCCAAATGCAACCATTTACCAATCACTACTTATTTTGGCCTCTCAAATGATCGAACACATCTTTGCGCGAAAAGTTGGTGACAATTCATCCTGTAGTAGGAGTTGTGTCACGCTATTTATCAAAATTCTACCAGTAGAAACTGCCACCAAATTGGAATAAACTTAAGAATAAAAGATCAAAACATTAAAAAAGGTATGAATACCAAAGCTAATACGAGCGAAGGCACGGATTGGCAAACTTGAAAAAGGACTAAAACGGGTTGCAATAGTGGGTTTTTGAAAACTTGTTAGCCCAACAGTTTTTCAAATTTCATTTTTTGTCAGGAAGTATATTTGTTGGGCAAGAAGCTGTGATTTTTTCATTTACAAGTGATTTCTTCCTTTAAAACATGAAGTTTCATAGCGCATAAGGAAGCGTAATTGGCCGAATATTACAAAAAAACAGCCGACCCCCCGTGACAGAGCCCCTTTAAGGAGTTACAAATTGGACTCGGGGCGGGAAATTTTTTGCCCTTTATTTCTCACCCAGGGTGGGGTATATTTTGGCAATTGGCTGGACAAGGGTTCCAAAATTACATAATATTTAAAAAAAGACAGCCGATCCCCCCGTGACAAAAGCCCCTTTACGGAGTTGCAAATTGGACTCGGGGTAGGGAATTTTTTGCCCTCTATTTCTCACCCAGGGTGGGGTATATTTTGGCTATTAGCTGGACAAGGGTTCGGAAATTACATTAAACAGCCCACTAGGGCGGGGGGCAAAGTAACTCAAAATACTACTAGCTGTTTAGGCTTATGTAGGTACCTTCTCTGGTAAACTGGCGATCTTGTCCAGGTCTTTCTACATCCAGTAGCTCGTAAGGTGAAGCGAAATAAGCTAGCCGCATTCGTCGACCTAATAACAAGAACCTGTACTATTAATGATAAAACTAAAAGTCAAAATAAAATTTTAGTGTTCTTCAATTATTTGTGTAGTTTTTCCAAACATACTTTATGCAATAAATATTGACTACCGTAAATCCTCTATTTACCCTCCATAAAGAACTAGAATACATAGTAGAAAAGCTCAAGTACAAGAAGTTTTAGGTCATGCAGCCGAGGATCAGAATCAAATCCGAACTTCCAGTTGGTAAATAAACCATCCTTGATAAGTCCACACGACGTTTTACGATCGTGATTGATTGATACAGTCTATAGATTATTAGTGAAGAATAATAAGGGGAGGAGAGGGAGGCTTATTAACTTTCTTCCCTTGAAAAGGGGGGCTTATTGGAGGGAGGGGGCTTTTTTGAGAGGGGGGACTTCATAGAGGATTTACTGTATTAAAGTTGTATAAATGTTGACTATAAAATGCCCTCACCTCCCTGCCTTGGGGTAACGAATCCAACAGGGCCCCGGGTTATTGCTTCACTGGAACTCATGTCTGTTCTGTTAAAATTAAAATAAATGAATGAAAAAATAAAAACTTTTTATCTCTGTGTCAGTAAGCAATCGAGCCAAGGGCAGAACCCTCTACTGAATTAATCCATTGATTACAATTTCTGAAAACCAAAAGTACCTGGCCTAAGAAAACAGCCGTCATAGAAGTGATGCCACCACTAGTTTCTACGCAAAATGACGTCCGAGGAACGAGCGCAGAAATACAATACTGATGACGCATCACCATCAAGATCTGGTTGGTGTTTCTGATTGGTTGAAGCAAATTTCCCACATGGGATGACCACTCAGGAGCACTACCCCGATCTGGGTAGTGACACGTAATGGATTTTCTGCACTCGGTCCTCAGACGTCATTTTGCGTGGAAATCATAAGGTGGTGTTGCAAAATGGCAGCTGTTTTTTTATTATTATTATTATTTTTTTTTTTTTCAGGCTACACAGTACCCTGGTAATGATACAGTACAACTCCCATGTGGGACCACCATCACCATTACCCTGGTAATGATACAGTCTAACTCCCATGTGGGATCACCACCCACCTATCGAAAACACCAAAGTTCTCACGGTCAAAACCTTACAGTTGAAACCTCTGGTAAATGACCACCTCCTGTAAGCGACCGTGGCCGCATTTCGGGGCTTATGGTTTAATAATCTTCCAATGTTTTTAACCTCTTGTAATTTACCACTTGACGCACGGTCAGATCTCTATGTTCGCTGTATGTAATAATTATGCTACTCAGAGTATAGGGAAAACTTTTAGCAACAACATGAAACTACACACATTGCAACTTAGAAATTACATGCAATGAATTATCTTCCTTACAGTAGATGTGTCCTGGCCTCTTCTCGGAAGAGACCCCCTGTCGTTCGATTCTTGTAAGCCACCAGTACCCGTACGTGACCACTAAGTCTTCGCATTTTGGGCGGTCGCTTTAGGGAGGTTCGAGTGTATTATATTATGGTCAGCAAAGTGTTGATTGTTAAACAAATTCTCCTCATCAGAACCACAGGAAATGCATAGACAAGAATGTGGAGAATATGTAAGTGGATATTTACCCAAAGAGAGTGGCGATCATGTTGATGTCTGTCTCAACTGCTTTAAGAGCTGCAAAGATCTTGGGTTTCTGAAACCTGAAGAGATTTGTTATTGACAAAAATGGTGGGACACTTTACTTACATTATATTATTTTTTTAAATGCCTACTCTCCCTAATTATCTGGGAGTCTCCGACAAAGGTATAAATTTGACGGTCTTGCGAAAAGGCACCAAATCTACCAGGTAAAATTGACTTTTGTGCCTTTCAGTGGTCTGGAATTTACTCAAAATTTCACAAGTCTGAGAAAACAGGCGACATTTCATGATGCAACAACTGGTTTCCCCCGGGGGGGGGGACTCCGCATACGAAAGGGGTGGGGATGCTCGTCAGAAATTTTAAATTAAACCCCTAAAGGAGACCGATCTGGGCGTGGCCCAAGCTTTTTTTGACCCCTAAAAGAGACCATGTTAAAACACAAACAATACAAATGAGAAAACTTGGATTATACGAATTGAGTAAATAAAACGAATTAAAAATGTACATATCAAATATATATTTTTTTTATTTTTTCGCGTGCAACCGTAAACGACATCTTCACGGCTAAATATGATGGCGTTTTGCCAAAGACACCCTGAATGAGACAATACGCATAGTCGCCCCTAATCCCCCCCCCCCCGGTTTGCCCGCAAAATGGCGTCTGAGGAACAAGAGCAGAAATTCCACAGTGATGACCTATCTCAGATCAGGGCAGTGCTTTTGATTGAGATTGCTCGTGCTGCAAGGGAAATGTGCTTCAACCAATCAGAAGCACTACCTTGACCTGAGCAGTGACATGCCATCAGTATGGAATTTCTACCCTCTTTCCTGAGACACCATTTCCCAACAAAAAGTTGGTGGCTTCGTCTGGTGGCTTCACGGGTTAATCATTGCAGGAATGATTCACCCACATTAATGTATAGAGCTTTGTATGGAGAACCCATGTTGTTGTTGGTGTTGGTCATGATGATCAAATTACAACAATTTAAGTCAATGCACAAGTCATAAGAATAGGACCCATACCCTGGGCTTGGCGGTGCTCGACACTAACGCTAGTCCACTAGCCCAGGCTTCGAAAAACTTTACCCTGCGCTAGTAAAAATGTGCTCCAACTAGACCCTAGACCGGTAAGCTTAGCAGAAAAATAAATCTTCTACAACTCTATAACTTGAGAAGTTCCTTTTCTAAAACGCTTCATCAATAGTGAGTTTAAATGTAAGCCAAAGGACTTTCTATCTATATCGTACAATTGACTCCTGTGGAAGCACGCATGCCACGCTGGAAAAGGACTTGCGTCCTTGTTTCCCTGTCACTCAATACAATAGGGGCCTGAGCCACCGTAGGTTCATTATCTTGGAATTTATTCGCGCACATTCACCACAAGAATGAAGGAGCTTTTTATAAAATAAAAAACTACCTTTGAGAAAGCGTTCTTCAACGACCGATGATGCTGAGGCAAATATTCATTGTTTACCAAAAAATCACACCGGGCATGAAGAGAAAAAGGAGTGGGATAAGCGGTCAAGAAGTTTTCAGCGAAGTTTGAAGAAAACATCATCCTTTTTTGCGATTCATACAGAGGAACTTGTATGCCTCGAACAATAGCACTCATGCCGAGAGATTAGCAAATCCGAACTCTCCTTTTGTCACAAACAGAAAATTTCTGTCTGAACTCATTAAGAGTTATGAAAGTTCTGAACCCCTAATGCAGGCTACAAACACTTGTAAAGTTTCGAACCACCTCAGTTTTTCTCGGACCAGTGGCTTGTCCTTGTGGGCTAGTGATTTTATCAAACTCGCTAGCCCAACGCCTAGATGTATAGTCCAAAAACATAGGGTACCTCTTTCCTACACTTCTGAAATGACAAAACGTGATATGCAGGTAACACAAAACACAGGTACTCACGTATCACGAGACAACTGATATAGATCACAGAGACCTTGTAAATGGCATAAAAATTCATCATAATCTCCTTCTCTGCAAGAGAAAAAAAAAACTAAAATTACAACGTATTTCTACAACTGTAAGATGATTTAATAAGTACCTGTATATCATGCATGTAGGTAAGAAAAAGGTTCCAACCCGTTCCTTTAATTTTGATGTTTCCAAAGCAAACTTTTAAAGCCCTCATTATACCGCTATTATCAGTGATGGGGGTTAATAAAACAACTTCGTTAGTATGATCTTCATTGCCAAACACTTGTCACAGTAGCAGATATTTCCAAAAGACATGTTACCGCAAATTCTAAAAGCCAAATTACTTTTACCTTAGTATTCTTGTCAGCTCAGGACAACTCTGTGAAACAAAAAAAAAAAACAAAAAAAACGGGCACTTTTTGAGTATTTATTAAGAAGGTCCCATTCAAAAGTCAGTAAGAAACAGCCCTGGCTAAGCTAGGACAGCCCAGTGAACCTGTTGTGGGAAAAATCCATTCTCAACCAGGTTAAGCCAATATTCAATCCAGATTATTCAGAGATTAATTTGTTTCCTTCCCTGATTATTCATAGAGGACAAAGGAGTTCTTGGATTCTCACAGTTTACAAGGGTAGACCGGAAGTTACAGTTGGAAAATAAAATGGTTTGCGCCTATATCCTTTCAGAGGATATGGGCTGTGATTTGCAGTGACACGATTTTTCTACTCTTTTTAGTCTGTTCAGCTGATTTTGATATGCTTCTTAGTGGTTTGTTCTCCCACCATGACAAATTTTATAGCTCTATGTTTATGCACAAGATTTCCACCCGGGTGGTTTGTGTATAGAAAGCTCCCCTGGTTTGACCTGAGAATGAATTAAACCAATGACATACATGTACTAACCAGGGCTGTCATGAAAGGTCCAAGGCTGGGAATTTCCCCAGCTACTACATGTACAGTGTATGAGCATGACCCTAGGCTTCATGTAGTTTCATGTATACATCATGTACTAACTTCCTAACTGACTTATTGCTAGCCTGTGAAAACATCCGTTTCTCCACACTCTTCGCCGCTGGGGACGTTTTGCGTGGAACGTCCTAGCGGCCCGAAGAGCGTGGAGAAACGGATGTTTTCACAGGCTAATTTATTGCATGTACCCATCAACTTGAGATCTTATCTGATCAACAGCCAGTTCCTTTTGCCTTTCAGTGAGTGGACAAGGCAATCTTGTCTTTTGCAGATAACTTTCATTATTAGGTTCACAGCTTCTATCTTCTTAGAATTTTTCTTAGATTACGTGTGCAACATTGACCAAGTGCTGAATTAAACAGCAGTACATGTAAATTAATTTGTATCTCTCCTACATGTACACTGTGGGCTTATTGTTGTATACCTCAGGATCACCAGTATGTGCTACTTTAACTTCTGAAACTGTTCCATCAGCTTCCATTTGCACCTGTAACATAGAAAAGATATTTTCACTATTTAAATTGATTAACTGTAAATTGGAGGCAACCTTGGTATGTCTTATGATCAGCTTGTCTTGCTGTTCTCTAAACAACTAAGATAGGTCTACCTTGAATGTGTGTAGTTTGATTATTTACACCTGAAACCCTTTGGGATTGGATAAATTTAGATCTTTACATTTTGCAAGGTTGTTGTGGAAAGGGATCACGTACACACTGTAGGTCACCCCCTCACAGCATTATCAATACAGCACCCTGTTTCTGGGTGTTTGCAAGGCTAAACATAGCTCTCTAGAGAGAGCATGTGTTCAGAGTTTTCGTTATGTCTGTTGTGCACTTGTGAGTTATTGGCTTGCTATGTCATATAAGCATGAAATGTAACCTGTTTTTTCAAAGAAAATAAAGCATGATTTCAACACACAGGATGATGCCTATTTCAGTCTGGTGCATTTAAGCATTAAGTTTAACACTTTACCTTCACCTTTACCTTTTATAGCACACCAATGACTAGCATCAAAGACAAAAATAAAATGAAGCGTGACAGGTCACGCTTATGTTTCTGAAGTACCACGTCACACTTCACTTTCATGTTACCAGTATGAAGCATGCTGATGACCATAACAAAATTTCTTTTGACTTGAACCAAATAAATTGATAAAATGACAAGCAGCGATGAGATTGTAATAGATCCTCCTCGTTTGTGAACTGAATCATACGGTATTTTGTATCTGGCCTTCAGAATTATCGCTTTTCTTACTTACAGACACGACACGACCGCAAAGTGTAACAGTTACCATAGAAACTAGAAACACAAAAAAACTATTTGAATTCCAGCTTATCCTTTGAGAAAACAGCTCTCACATTTTGCTTGCTACTACTGAGCCATTACTTGCTTGTCTTAAATAATTATTATTAATAGGTACAAGATGATTTGCCTGGACTCCCCACCCCTTTGGACCAGTGAGATTAAGACAAGTTACACACCCAGCAAGATACAGTGTAATCTGCTTGGCCCAGACAACCAGGTGGGTCATTCGAGCCCTGTTCTGGACATCTCTTGCAATTACAAAAAAAAATTAAAACCTATTCTGCAATGAGCAACACTGTACCTCAACATAAAACATGTCTGAATTAATGAAACAGTCTCTTCCATTTTCAATGAATTTCAGCCTATAAAAATGAAATTTCAACACAGATAATTAGCTACAGAAGAAAAGGAATGATTGATCCCCTGCCTACTTGTCGCTTTTACCCAGCAACTTGAAATCTTAGTGACACCCTTGAAATAATGCAAAATTCTACAGAAAAAAAAGGGGAGGGGGCTGTGGTCCCCCTGGACAAACCTAGATCTGATCCACCCATGAGACACCCAAATAATACCTATACATGGAGACACTGATAACACCTACCCAACTTTTCTTGTTATTGCTTCAAGCCTTTGTACAACAACTTTTATTGATTTCTCTAAAAAGCAAAATTGATGAATAACTTAAAATAAGCATGTACAATGGTGATGCATGTTGAGTTTTTTTAAATTTTATTTACAAAAAATGTAGAGCATAATGATTTAAGACAAATGTGTAAAAGGAAGCAACACGTATGCATCTTACAGTCATGCAAGGTTCAAGTGTACCCCCAAGATGTCATTAATGTTATTATTCAAAAGCTGAATCCTTTGCATTTATGCATGTGTAATGAGCAATGAATTGACACGCCACGTAGTTATGAAATTTGTACCTCCTCAGTTTTCTTGAATTTGATATAAAACTCTTTAAAGCAATTTTATCCATTCAAAAATCTTTCTATCGGACCAAATACAGAGAGCTTATTGTAAAAAAATTAACACTTGATTTTTACACATGCAGGAATGTAGATTCAAATTTGATACTGGTTGTGGCGATTCATTTATGGAATCTAGACTGTATCAGGGTATGGTTGGCCTGGCACGAAAAAAGGTTTAAAGGTTTAAAGGCTTGTTTATGGTGGAAAGTGCACTTTGCTTATCCAGCTAGTTTACAGGCAATCCACTCTAATACTTAGAAAAAAAATAATTCAAATACAACGTAACAGGATTAAAAACCCCAACCTGGCAGGAGGCAACCAGTTGGCTATTTACAAGAGTGGCCAAGGATTTCAACTTGGGACCACCGAGAACAGATCCAGCAAGTGGCCAGAGCAGGACTCAAACCTGGAACCGCTGGATTGCAAGTCTGACTCGCTGACCACTCGGCCACGCTGCCCCCCTTTATGATGATAATAGGAGGGTGCTGATTGTTTACACTCTGTACCTGTCATAGCACTTTGCAGCTTATCCAAGCATTCTGATAGGTAGTTTTTCACAGGTGCAAGATTATCAATTTGTTGCTGCCTTTCCTATGAAAAGGTAAACCACATCAACTCCTTGCATATTAATTTAGTGCAGAGTCAAAACCAAGAGTCCTATGGCTCAGTTAATTCCAAATGTACCAATAACAACACTCCCCACCTCCACGCAGGCATTTGTCATTGACAAGCATTTACCAAGTTGTGTGTTACCACAATGGGGCATTTGTTATCTAAAGTCTGCTGGGGTTGGGGAATTTCTCAGTGTTGAATTTTATATTTTTCTGTTGATCGAGCAAGAGGTCAAGGTGGCTAAATGTTAACAAAGTTCTTTTATTGCATCTTTATGGACCTTGACAGACATCATTTACAAGGCCACATAGAGCCTTCCCAACCTGAACAAGCATGGTAAATACAAGCCCCCGGATTTCACAGTAACGATGTTTTCCGGTACCATGTCATTACCATGGTCTTAAAATAACGCAATTGTAAAAATAGTTTCCCAGTGAGATATTGTTTAGCATCTATCAGTTTTCTATCATTCCCCATCTTGAATGGTTCCCAAAGTACATTGCATGTTACTGGTTTATGGCTTCCAGTACCAAGAAAAAAATACGTGACTTTGCAAAACTGAGGTGGGTTTCCATGAAAATTCATGGAACCAAAAAAGTTGTTAACAGATGGTTTCCTCGGCCATGATCTATGGGAACGGAACCAAAAATTGTTTTCCATGGGATTTGAAATCCTATAGGACTTGTCAGTAAAGTATTAATTTTATTGTATGGCAAAAACAAATTGTTTTGCTGTAAGACGAAGTCAGGAATCGCGAAAAAGTGCCCATCTCGCCCCCTCCGATAGCTAATCAGAAGTCAGGACTTTTAAAAATCTTTTTACCCTGTCATTGGGCCAGACATAAAGTAAGCTTATACAGTCAAACCAGTATATAGTGGTCACCTTGTATATAATGGTCACCTTGCCATTTCCCAAGGGTGACCATTGTACACAATGCAGACAATCCTTTTCCCTGCCATGCACAACAGTGGAGGCTGAGTAATAATCAAGCCTTGTGACATATCTATAGAGCTTTACAAAATTAAGCTTTTTAATAATGGCCAGTTATAAATTGAGGAAATCATGCTCTGTTAATAAATTATAATAATTGGATAACCCATCCCTTACCAGAGAAGCTCGAATAGCCTTTGCAGGATCCGGCCAGCTTGCGCAGCTCTGGCATTTTGATCTGATGCTGTTCAGTAAGTCAGTAAATTTACTGTGTTCTGAGTAGAAATTTAATGACCCAAAAACGTGAACTGCAAAAAGAAAGGTAAGTTTTTACAGGGAAACACTTCATTGCGTACACAGTAGTGAAAGCTTACATTGTATGTTGTGCACCTCGCAAATAAATGACGCATAGGGAACTAAAAAATAAGCCAGGTCAGTACTTACTTTTAGTGCCATCAAATTCCTTTCCTTTCAGACCTAATTCTTCCTTATAGTTGCTGACGAGTTCTTTCAACTTTAGACAACATGATCCACAAGTTTGTGAATCCAGTGCGACCGCCATCTTGTTTCGTTGTCGTTACTTGACATGCGCAAAAGATAAGTTCGCGGGCTCACACAAAATCTGTCGAAGCGCCAGTCCGTGAGCATGCCCCCTCCCTTTATCTCTGTAATCTGTTTTCGGGATTTTTTTTCCCTCTCGAGCCAAAGAAGCAAAAAATGAATAAATAAATAACGCATGATCTCAGGTTATCGAAGCGCGAGATGTCACAGTTAAGTAATGTAGGGACCATCTATACAATTCATTGTTTTAATGTACCCATACAAGCCAAAAGTAATCGGCTCCTGTACAAACCATATTTGCTTTAAGGGTCTTATTGCAACAGGTTTGCTGTATCCTAGCAGTGATCCTTTAATCAAACTGGTTCCATTAAAAGCCATAAGATGGTCATAAATCGGTTCGGGAACCACACAGGAGAAGAAACACACAACTTAAGAAAGACTAGCCGATTTACTAATAATAATGATAATAATAATAATAATAATAATAATAATAACAATAATAATTTATATAGGGCTATTCAGCTTCTCTTTCATAGAGCTTTTTCATAGCTCTTTTATAGCGTTTCAACTTTGCATGGTGATGACCTGGTGATATTTACAGCTTCACCTTGGGCCACCTATGAACTATCTGTAAGGTATCGCTTGGCTCGCTAAAAACTAAGTTTCAGTAACAAAAACAATTACACCGTGTTTTTTCGAATGAGCTTCTTGGGGCTTGTTTTGGCTAACAGCAGCTATCGGGATTAGCACGCGCGTGATTGCTTGTTGTTGTTGTTGGAGAGAGCGGGGTAGCCACGAGAAGAGAGAGGACATGTCAAATAATGATCCATCACAACAAAAGTACGACTGCGGGACTCTTTTTCAAAACCGGAGTACTCGTTGTACTTATCAAGTTAGAGCAATGTGTTACTCCTGCAACCTGCTATATCACATCTCTCTCACTGTTTTCGGTTGCGTTATTAGCCCAATAACCTTATGATAGTACCCAAGGAATTTATCTGTCCAGGAAAGAAAGTAATTAATAAATGAATATTAAAGAAGTACACTTTTATACACTGGATCCGTCTTCTAGCAAGTGAATCCAGCTAAACTTGAGTCGTGTCTTCTTAAAATTCCAAAATAATGCTCCAGTTTTGTTATTTATAAGACCACAATATGAACTGAAGCACATGCACACTACCAGCTCCGCGGTATAGCCAGTACCTTACGCATGGGTACAGCCCTATCACCCCGGCAGTGGCAGTTATGGACAGCTTTTTCGTTCTTGTTAGGACTCATCAGCATGGCATAGCCAGCGAAGTCTCACTTACGATCACTGTGCGCATGCGTAAGGTACTGGCCATACCGCGGAGTTGGTAGTGTGTGCTTCAGTTCATATTGTGGTTTTGTTATTTATGACTTTATTTAAGCATAGAAACTGTTTCGTATCGTCTTTTGCCACGGATGGCAAGGATCGACATGGATAAAAAAAATTGGGCCAAGTTTTTAACTGCTGCCGGACGGCAAAAATCACCAAAGACAATATTGTTAGTCCTCCTTGATGAAATTTGTTTGATATTTTCTTCATACTCTAAAGCTTAGGAACTAAATAATGACTTCAGCCATCCCCTTCTCCCTCCCCTTTTTGCGCCTGCCACACAGGCTAGACACTACATAGCCTGCGAGCGAAGGGAGCCGCAAGGGACAGTCGCGTCTCCTCTCGCGCGCCTCTCGCGCGTGTACTTTACACGATATCCCGCAAATGGAGAGCTTGCTCGCAGGCTAGACACTACATAGTCCTTTTAACTTAACTATAGCAGAGTTTAGCGTCTTGAAGATTATTTGAGAAGATCAAGAAAAAACAAATAACTTGAAATTAACTTATTAGAGATCACCCCGTGAAACTCTTTTAGTCAGTAGCGATAAAGAAAGAAGCTTTCCTTGAACCACAGTCCTCCTAACTGTGTTACGAAGTGAGGCAAGAGTGGGCGGGGAAGGGTGGCCTTGCTTGAAATTTTCCCTGGAAGGAGAGCGCTAAAACAAGAATGGTACTCATTCGATGAAAAAATGTCAAGGTGTATGGGCTCCATCGGGAGATCGGTCGATCCGATCGTCGATCGGTCGCCGCTCTAGTGGGTGAGGTTTTGTTCCTTGCGGTTCGTTTCCGTACGGTTTCGGAGCAAAGAACAAGTTACGAGAGTCAAAGACCGCGCGAAAAATAGGGCGAGAAAAAGAGCTGGGAGGGAGTGAGCTCTTGTTCCCCGTTCCTTGTCGTTCGTTGGTCTTTCTTCGCTCCGAAACCACACCGAAACGCTTGCTACACAGGCTACCTTGCGGTCTAAGCGAGTAGGAGTGCAGGCTCATTTCCCGAAAAGCGGCTGGTAATCGAGCAATCGAGCCCAGACATTCACACACTGGAAAAATTAAAACAAATGGATGAACGAAAAAGAACTTTCGAGACAAGAAAAACAAAAGCCGCTTGTGTTTTCCGGCTGAAAGATATGAAAGACATGAAATAGATACGTACGATTATGAAGGATTAGTTTAGCCATTAGAATATTGGCATTAAAGTGTCTTAACTTGACACATACGTCGCCAATACGTAAAACAATTGATCCATATATACACATGCAAACACAAAAAGATTAAAAAATTGTTGTTTAGAACTAATTATAATTTGCGTGTATGTTTGGCTTAAATATTGTTTGAAACAAAACAAAATTTGGACCGTAAAAAAATCATAGTAAGAACTCTTGTCATCATCAATACGATGCAGACTCGTTGGGAAAAAATCATCATCATGTTTTGGCGCTGAAGGTAAAAAATATACGACTGAGTATTCAGAGGCTAGTGTTAAATAGTTAGGTCGTCATAAGTCAAAATTAAAGAGCCTTTTACCCCTTAAAGAGACCAATAAACAAAGAATTGGCCCACATATCGAATTGCCCTATTAAACGTATATGAAGCTATGATAAAGTGCTGCCAAAGACGAGGTTTTATTTGAATGATCACACCATGATAGTATCTCACTCACAGACTTTTAAGTAAGTTCAGGCATCACTAGTCTCCCATTTTACTATAGACTGAAGAGTTCACCACTCGCCGGTGTTTTCCATGCAAACATTTGTGGTTGAGTTCCCGCCACTACTGACTTGAGTTGTCATTTTGTGTGCGTTTTTAGTTACTAGTTTTGACAGTTTTCTTAATCTTGACATTCCAAAAGGCATTTCAAAGTATTACTCAGACAAACTGTTTGGCTTTTGTTGTTTTAATGTTTTTTGAAAAGCTCCACATTCTTAGTTTTTTTTTTTTTTTTTTTTTTTTTACCTTTCTCGGTGTTTGAGTTATTTCATCTGCGATTCCCACAGTTACATTCCATTAACTTAAGCGAAAAATGTTGTCGAGTTTATATCTTCGATATCTGAACAAAGTGAAGTTTTGTTGGGGCCGAGAAGTAACTTCAAAAAGTTTTGAAGTTTATGCCCTGAACGCGGGATGCACGGCCTATCAACTAGAGCCCAGAACATGATCGAATTCCGCAAGGGACTAATTATTTTTGACAACTATAATTCTTTTCCACATCTCCGCACGGGCAGGCAAAAACTGAAAGTGCTGATGCGCAGTAAGTTAAGACGGTACAAGCACATCACACAAAATCGGTTTACACTTTGGTTCAATGTACACGACGGCATCACACCTACAGCCTTACGACTGGTTCAACAATACTACCTAAACTAGCTAAGTTTAAAAAAATGAAAGTGTTCCGGGCATTTCTCGTTCAGGTCCACTCGGCCGTAATAGGCTCCTGGACCAGTGTAACCGTTTGGACATCAGTTTCCAAAGATTTGTTCCTCCTCTGAATTAAAGCTTTTGCTACCCAGTGTGTCAGATGTCCAGATGGGAATTGTCCACACTTTCAAGAAAACAGTGAATTCTTTCAGTTAGCGTGATGTCGCTAGTACTTAAGCTTCTTCTACGTGACGTAAGCCGGCTACAAGAACCGACATCCCGGAACTCTCGTTGAAGAGTTATGCTCTCGATGGCTTCGTGTGATTTGAATTTAGGAATAAACCCGTTATTTTCAAGTGGGCATTCTGTGTTCACGTTAATGTCTTCATGTGATCGGGTCCTAGCGTAAGGTGGTGAGTGTGGTGGACTCAAGGTCAACGTGTTTCTCCTAATATTTTCGTCTGTTAAACGTTTTTTAACCCGAGGACTGTTTGTGCTTATCGAAGGCAGGTGCGTTAATCTTTGCTCCTTTTCTCCGCATATTAAATGAATATCTGGAACAGACCTGCTTAATTCCAATTCGCCAAGTAATTTTCTATCAGCGATCTCCATCGGACTTGCACTAAGCTTTGGTAAATGAACTTCGTTCGCGGCATCAAATTTCGAATTCGTCGAATTCGAAGAAGAAACTGACGATACAGTCTCGTTCGATTGCGTTCGGGACAGTACATTTTTCCGCAAACTCTGCATCCGCGATTTAACCCTGTTTTTTTCCACCATGTATGTTTTCTCGACGTTATTCTTGAACAGATCAAAATCACGTTGCTGTTTTTCGAGCCTCAAATTTTCTCGTGCGTTCATTGTTTGAGCTCGTTGCTTGTTATCGAAGCTTGCAGAAAGAACTGCCCGTCTCATAACCATGTCCTTGGGCAATGATCGTGCGCTCATCTTGGTTTCCAGTCTCACGGCCATACAATTCTCTGAATCTGCATTAACTTTTACGCTTACAATCGGCCGGTACTGTTTGTTTAACTGCCCAGACTGCGAGGTTGTGCCCTTTAAGCACGAAACGTTTAATTTGCTATACGCGTGATGTCTGCCAACGTTATGGGTCAGTGGCTGAATACCACTATAATATGGAATTCATTGTTGATCTAACCTAAGGCAAAAAGGATTTGTCAATTAAAGAGGGATCTTGGCCAACATACGAGACACGCATAACTATAAAGATAAAGAAGGGTGAAAAAGATCATCTTGAGTTTGCTACTTTCAGAGTATGCTGTCTTTGTAAGGTAGCACGGAAAGCACATTGGCAAAAACCCTTTACATAAGCGGTTAAAAATTAATTTAGTTTTCGTCCATAACTTTACGCTTCGTAGAGCTTTTTTAATGAAAACGTTATATAACAAATCAAGGATCATCAATATACTGTACCGACGACAACGCCGTTTAAGATTCACGATTTTCCGTTTTCTTTTCTTTTCTTTTCTTTTTCTTTTTCCTTAAGCGCATCGCGTTTCTTGATCAGCGGCAGCCAAAGAATCTGGGTCATACGACTTTCTTTTAAAATTGTACTTTTCATATGAAAAAAAAAAGACTCTAAAGTAGCAGATAATTGATTAATTTTTTTATCCGTTCTTTTGCATCATCCAGATAATTACACGATGACGTCACATGATTGGATCAACCATGAATGTACAAGCTAAAACATTCTGCTGCTATGTTTTGTTCTTTTCAATGGCTGGATTTTTTTATGAAAAGAAACAAACTTTCACGTAATCGAGAATGTTCCAAAGGCTTTGAATAGTATTATCGCAGTCCCCTATGCTTCCTTCACTCATTGTTCTGTTTATTTGCACCAGTTATAAAGACGTAAAGGTGTTTCATCCTCATCGATGGCTAGATTACATGAGATCCGTTCTATTCAGAAGAACACCTAGTATTGACAAATTTTTACCCTTGGGGAAGATGAGTGGATTCAGCTCCTCACACGTCCCGTTTTCGTTCTTCTTGGATTCTCGTGATAAATGTTTTGATTCAGAATCTCTTATTCTCAGTAGGTTTTCATTTTTTCCTCAAGGATCATTTGGTGACCTTCGGTTACGTTACTGTGGTGACGACATACTTGTACAACAACAAAAATTTCATGAAATCTTGCCAACTTTCAAAAATGCTTGTTTTTCGAACTATGGGGGGAGTACATGTATTGAGGTCGTGTGTATCATGTTTATTGTTACGTTTATTCGTCAATCCTTATCGTCTGGAACAAAGTAAAAAAGAAAATTCGTACTTAACAGTGCCAGATCCAGACCTTGAGATAAGGGGGGAGGGGGGAGCGGTCTTGCGGACCCTTAGATAAGGGGGAGGCGGTTTCCAAAAAAGATTTTTCGGCCCTTCGGGCTTCAGTTTGGTCTAAGAATAAGGGGGGCCGGGCCCCCCGGGGCCCTCCCCTGGATCCGCCACTGCCTAAGCGGCTAATGGGCTCCTGAACATAACTTCGGGATCTGCATAGGGCTGGTGTCTATTTCTGACAGTGCTGTTTTGGGAAAAATCACTCAAAAGCCATTGATGGCTGTCATTTATTCCTTGGAGAAAGAACCTGTATCCTCCTACTGGAGTTGAGGGTCCTTTTAATTTTTTTTGCCAATTTAATGACGTGTGCTAAAATTGCCCTCAAAATTCCATGACAGAAACCGCAAGGAGTCTGGTACGACTGAAGGATTGTGGGAACGCTAGAGAAAAACATGGCGGCCTCAGACCTCTTCAGCTTCCAAGTTTCTCGTATAGATTCGGTGGCGGTAACTTTAAATCTCACATAACATACCGCATTGAAAATTATACACCATTTGTTTATTATCCCAGCCCAAGCAGAAACAAAAAACTGAGAGAGTTAAAATCCAAGGTACCGTCTTTTTATTAAGTCTATAATGATTATTTTACAACGGCTAATTTAGGATATCAAAATATCATCAAAAAAAGTGACTTAAATAAATTAACTACATAGAGAATTCTCTGTCGTTTAGCTGTCTTTGTTTTACAGTATATTAAAAAACGATGCTTGTGAGCGTTGAATTACTCTGAAGCAATATTTATGTCCCTTTTCACACAGTCACTCATTTAAGAAAATCGAAACTTTCAATAAGTAGAGACAAGAATCAGAGCAAAGATAGAAGATTAGTAAGTCAAGATTTACTCCTGTATGTTACATGAAACGTGCACGTGAGACATTCAAAGAAATGCTGATCAGGTGCCATTTCGGTTGCCCGTTTAAAGGGACACCTGAGTATATGCCGATATGAAGGCCATGTTCAAGGCGATTAGTCATGAATATCTCTCTGGAGAAACATTTACAATTAATGCTTGATCGAGTACAATAACTGATCAGATATTAGTATTTTTTTTTAAAAAAATGGCATCTTTTTCGGACTTCATTTTTGTCTTGTGCCGACTCAGAAGCTTTGAAATTCTATTAAAAAACGATCGAGTGAAGAACAAAAACTCCATAACGGATGCCACGAAGGATGACTGTTGTCACATGTTACACCTTCAAGTTTTCAGGTTCACACCACCTTTACTGTTTTTATATGAACGAAGTATACCCTACCCCAGTTGGCATCACGACTGAAAAAGAGCTAATCCTCTTTGGCTCAAGACGCTTAAGTTTACCGCGGCAAAATAATGCCGAATTCGATGGAGAAGAAGGCTACTGTTGCAAAGATCCAAAAAATAATAGTGTCATAGCCACCTGAGGCGCTGATCATCGCTGCAAATCGGACTTTACCGTCATTACACAAATCACCTCTGCAGCAGTCTACTCGGCAGTTCATTGCATCAGTAGAATTCCCAGCGGTCTTGAAGTGTTTGCACAACGCCTGCTCAAGCTCGTCGCAGGCCGAGTGGAAGGCACAATCTTTAATTTGTGTTCTTTTGTTGTCGTCATAAGCAGTCATTGAGAAACAAGAGTCATAGTGTTCTCCAAACTCACTGTCAGATGAACAGTCAATGGTAAACGCTTCTCTCTCACAACTTGCGTTGCCTAGACCACACTTGATGCACGTGATCGACTCACCTATATAAAATCAAACAATAAGAACGTTTAGTCTATGTTTACACACTATACCGGATAGGTTTTCGTACAGTATGAACAGTAGCGTAATACAACTAGAACAAGTCAATATTGTTCCGGAGAGCTTGGCCTTGAGGGTTTGGTTGTCAATCCTCACTCCTGAACAAATCTCGTCTCCCCTAGCCCCTTAGGAAGGCCTGATACTCAGGCTAAGGCGAACGGGAGACCAGGGGAGAAGAACACATAAAGCTTTATTTTTCTCCTCTCCTCTACTGGCGATTCGCGCGTTCGCCTCGCTTGGCTCGTAAATTTAAAGAGCCTGTTATGCGGGCTAAATTCGAGTAAATGTCCCCATGACTTATTTGAGATGAATGTCACAAGAGCGAGAAGTATGACCGAGAAACGATAGAAAATTTCAAAGGAAAGCTGGAACAGAGATGACAACTTCGAAGAAAACGATCATTTATTCACTTTTTCAATTAGTCACTTTCCTCAATTTTATCAATTAACTGACATTTTTAAATTTTGTCAACAAGATTCTTCTTATTCTGAATATCAGTGTTCTTTGATTCTTTTATGTACTAAATGCGAATTGGCAAATTTTACGACGCTGCACTCAGATGTTTCGGGGAAATGGTCGAGGTTCGTCAAAACTGCGTTAATCAATCTGGGCGCTTTGCCTTTTCAAAGATACAAAATAACACCTTCTCAAAGCTTTGTCCGCCTTCTAAAGGAAAGCTCCTAATGGGCAATTTCTCAGAAAGACTGACACAAAATGAAATTTACTTCCCTAATTTCCACCAGTACAGTCTCAGAAATGAAAACTACAATGCATCGCAGGGGCGGATCTAGGGGGAGGGTGCAGGAGGAGCGCCCCCGCTGAGATGACCTGCGGTTTTCTAATATAACTGGTATTCTGCAAAAAAAAAACTATGTGGTTTATTGGTGTTGAAGTAGAGCAAGAGACGAGTGCAGCCCCTCCTAAAAAAATTCCTGGATCCGCCCCTGCATCGTTGAATCATCGACACGACACATAATCAGATAAATGGCCATGGAGTGCTGTAATTCTTTACCCTTATTGAGATCAGTCCATTACAGCAATAGTCCGTCATCGACTGGAGGACTACCGCGTTTTTTTCTAGTTTTGAAAGCTCGACGACAGAGGTCTTCATCCATCGATCAGATATGAATTAGCACTGGCAAAAGGCAAATGCAGTAAACCCAGCGACAAAGAGCCTGGATTTTTCCAAGTCAGGCGAAACAGTTTCTTATATAAATGGTAGTTAGCACAAGTTTAGTCTGTTAACTGAGGTTCTTTATACAAAATAGCTAAGAGTATTTATTAGTGGTTCAGCTTATTTCTCATAAAATCTGCATACCATTACACAGCAGTGTAAGTGATAAAGCAAAGGAGAGGATTCTGAATGTTGACTTGTCTTTTTTGCCCAATTGTACAGAATTTTTTCATAGATTTTAGAAATTAAGAACCTGTTTCAAATTTTAAACTAAACAGGGTCTCAGTAGAGACGGGGCTCAACGGGCAATTCGTAGTTGCGGGATTTTCACTGTATCTGATTCCCGTTTGCAAACATCTACTTAAGGCCCCGCGCCTATCTTTCTTGTTAGGCGCTCATAGTCTTGTATGGCAACCTCTTTCCCAGGGCATTTACCCCAGCCCTATTGACAAGACAGCCTCGACAGCTTGCTACTTCTGCCAGTGCTTGGATGTTTTGTGCTAGAGTGGGGCTGTAAGGATTGATAAGTGGATAAGTGTATTGCAATGTACCGGTGGCACAAAGTCTTACCACCAGTCTGCCCCTGGTAAGAATAATCTTCGAAATTACTGGTGATGTGGTGATGATGTGCCCCTGGTTTTCCATATCCTGACCCAACAAAAACCCTTTGCCATACCCGTTTTCAGATCTGGCTTCTGAAACCAATTCCCCCGTCCAAAGAAGTGAATTCAACATATCATTTAGCCATATATCTTTATCAAGGCCAAAATATGTAGATATACCCATATGGTTACCTTGAAAAGCCAAGCCCTATTATATTTCAGTTAGCTTCAGTTCATGTATGTGCCGCTGTGAAGGGTATGGTTTTCAAGCCGTTTACTCCAGGATAGGGTATATAAATCACAGCGTTTGGGTCTAGAATAGGGTATCATTTTTCAGAAAACTGATCACTCGGTTGAAGATTTTCATCTAGACTAGGGATTGTGGTATAAGATTTTGTTTTGGCTAGTCTGTGCTAGTGACCTCAGTAGTTTCTGGAAAACAGGTACTCTAGGATAGGGGGAATTTGGGGAGTTTACTCTAGTACACGGTAGCAAAATTCAGCTGAACTACATCTGGTATAGCTTAAGGGTTCCAGGGTCCCAGCGGCACATCCCCACTCAGAAATTCCTAAAGTACTCCCCCCGGGTATTGCCTATATGCGGCTAGGGGCCCGTTTCTCCAAAGTCCCGATAACTTTTGGGCCCGAAATCAAATATTCAAATCGAAATAAAAAGAATAAGAGCGCTGGTCCTGGCTAGTAAAATAGTCCATTTCTTTTCATTAACTGATAGTTTTATCATGAAAGATGCAAAACATTGAAACGTCTATCTTTCAGGTAAACAACAACAGCTTGGCCATGATTTTCATCATTAGAATTCACTTGGTAGATTTTTGCGATAAAAGCTGTATATATGATATCTTGACCTTATTGAAAAATGAGGAGATAAAGGGGTAGGTATCCGAAATGAAACCCGGATACGGTTAAGTTAATTATGTCAATGATTATTTAAACAGCTTTCCTAAAAAGCACACCACGTATTAGCAACATCTTTAGTTTATAGCTGTCAGCACCTTAAATTCGTGAAATACGTTCGATCGAAGTTGAGGATTCTCTGTGTGAAGACTTGGTGAACTTTGCTTGTTTCGGCTTTTCGTTTGCCATGTCTTTTATGTCAATCAGGAAACGTCTAAAGGTAGCTTAAACTTAATAACAGAAACCAGCCATTGAACATTTCAAGCTTTTTGCCGTTTGTCCAATAGAGAGATCGAGCGTTTACAATCTGACAGAGAAAGCAGAGCTTTAGCATTTCTTATTAATGTCCAAATAAATAATGGCATTTACAAAATTTATTGGTTAGCGATCAAGAACTGAAAAATGTACGGTGAAGAACAATCATCATCAAAGCGCTTTTTAATCACTGTCAAAGTCTGTTTCGAAATAAAATTCTTCCATGATTTTCTGGAGACACCCAAATAATTTGCGCCTTATCAGTGGTGTAACTAATTTCTGTTCATGAAGTCTGCTGGCACAGAAAAAAAAACATTTTACTTCTCAGAAGAACACCGAATAAAGCAAAATCAACATTCTTGTATGGCCACAGACCCAGAGCACTAGTGACTCACCGTTTAAGGTAAACCTGTCATGAATTTTAGTAACCTGCGAAAACATCCGTTTGTCCTCGCTCTTCGCCGCTGGGGACGTTTCGCGCGGAGGAACGAAACGTCCCCAGCGGCGAAGAGCGAGGACAAACGGATGTTTTCGCAGCCGCTAGAATTTTCGTCGTTTATGTGTAATAGTGGTAAAAGATTTTTCAAGCCACGATATGTCATGAATAGTGTCGATATTGTTTCAACACTGCTTGTCAAGATTCTATGTGTCTTGTCTTGTGGCTTATGAACCCTATTTCAGTCAGCATTTTTCCCATGCCGGATAAGTCCTTTGAAGACTAAATTGATGGAAAATAAGTCTTAGTAAGGCCAAAGAATTAACCTTTAACCCTTAATGACATTGGGACACTAGAGCCCCCTCCATTAGCCAAATTTGCTTTAGAAACGTTCTACAGGTTCTGTATTAAAGTAAACCTATAAACAATTGTTTTGTGGTTTGATTAAGCGCAAAAACCTCTAGCGGTCAAAGTTTGCAATTAGGAAAACAGCTTCAAAAGATCACTATCTAATGGTACCTGCTTTACGTAACGCTAACTTCATCATCGTTCTAAAATGTAGAAATTTCTCGTTTTCTTTGATGATAGAGACCTGAAGATGCACCGTTTCCGTGTACGGGAACAGGTACGGATAAATTAGCTGTACACGTAGCCGTAAATACCGGTAGATTGCCTCTTACCCGAGAGAAACGTTGGCTACCGGGTAGAATGGTTACATCATTATCACATCTGGGAAATAATGGTTGCCTTTTATAAAACTACGAGGTAAAGATGTTCGCTTAGGGATGCACCATTAGAAATGTGAAGGGGGGGGGAGTCCAAAAACAAAAAAAGAAATCCTGCAAAACAAAATTTTAAGAAAAAAAAATCCTGCATTGCAACGAAACCAGAAAAAAATATCCTGCTTGGATAACCAATGTGACTGCGACAATATATTACACAGTCTGAAAAATAAATCTGTGATCTGTAACAGGAAATCCCCTTCCCCCAACTTCCTAAATTCATGTCAAACTACATTTCAGGCAGAAAAAACAATTTCTACTGGCTAAATAGAGATTTCAATTTGAACCAACTCTGATGCCCTTGATCTCTATAGCTGCCATAGTATTAAATTAAGAGACTGTGGTGATAATTGTTTAACTTTATAAATTAAATAAACTTTTTTATTGAAATACTTTTGTTTTAATGGGATTAAAGTGAGATTGTGTTAACAACGTCAATAGTTCCACTTGCACGCAAGTTTATGGAGTTGGTGTTGTACAATATGCGTTGCTACTTGAATCCATAAAGTTTACAGCTATAAACAAAAGTAGATGTCCCAAAAACACCAATCACACTGCAGATCCCGCTGCATTTAAAAGTATTAAGAATATTATTTACCCAAACTAACACAAAATATTTTGAATGCTTTGCAAAACCATAAATAGAAATGGTGCATTCTAATAAAAACTTGAACCTAAACATATGGGCCACAGACATATGGTAGGATTTAGAGGAAATGTTCTTCAAGTTCTTCCTCTGTATCCCAGTCCTCGCCTGATGAAGACTGACATGCTGGCTGCAGTTTTACTTCTTCTTTTTCTTCTTCTTCTTCTTCTTCTTCTTCTTCTTCTTCTTCTTCTTCTTCTTCTTCTTCCTTTTCTTTCTGTTTTTCTGTCTCTTGTCTTCCCTCAGGTTCTTTCTCTGTGTTCCAGTCCTTGCATGATAAGGACTGAGATGCTTGCTTTCCTTCTTTCTGTTTCTCTGTTTCTTGTCTTCCCTCAGGTTCTTTCTCTGTGTTCCAGTCCTCGCCTGCTTGAAATTTCTTCTTTTGTTTTTCTTTATTTTCCTTTAGAGCATTCTTCTTCCTCTTTCTTCGCAATACTTTACTTTGGGTAAAACACCGTTTGATCTGCTTGTGTAGCTGTTTCAACTGCCACTGAACTCAGTTCGGACGTTTGAACGTATAGATTACTTCATGGGCAGCGCGGGCGTACGGTATTTACGCACGAGTTGGTTCGCATCAGAAATTGAACGAGCAAGGCTTTGCGAGTGAGATCCAGAAAGCGAGAGAGATTTATCTGACATACAATGCGAAAAAAAGTCCATGTCTAACACTGCACGTGTTTGGTGTCCTATTACATTATGTACTAAACATCTGTGACTGGACGAAACGCTTTTTTTTCACGTGTGTGAAAGTCGTTTCGCCATTCTGATTGGCTGCGAACCCTGAACAGGGTTTTCACACGCCAAATTTCAATAGAAAATCTCAATTAGTATGAAAAAAATATACTTAAAACAAACGTGTTCTGTTGGAACACTACAACAAAAAACATTTGCGCGGTTGAAACAGTCTAGTAAAACAAGACCAAAAGAGGGCATAGTCATTTTGGAAAAAAAAAATCGTGCAAGGGTTTGAAGGTTGAAAAAAAAATCCTGCACTCCTGCTGGTTGTGAAAAAAATAACATGCCTTTCCAGAAAGTCCTACCCCCCCCTTCACATTTCTAATGGTGCATCCCTTACCCGTACTCGTAGGCTGAAACGGTTAATAAGTAACGAAATAAATGTATTTTCAACTATAAAGTCAGTAACTAGTCACCTAACGTCTTCCCTCAACACACATACTTTTATTTGGAATTGTAAATTTTTTTAAGCAGAAGGTGATTTTAACTAGCGCCGAGTTTGGGGAAGTCAGTTCCAGAGAAGTGGCCACCGGAAGAAGAGTTTTTTTTTCCCTGCAGACGCCAATTTTGGGATTGAATACGACACTTGAAGTCGGCGTCTCCTCTGTGTAAAAGTGAAAATTCAATTGTAACATGAGATTTTTGACTGATGCTCCGTTTTAAAACTTTTTGCCGACCAGTCACCTAATGGCTAACACTTGAGAGTGACAATTTCGAGACGTCAGGTATTTTAATGCCTTCAATGTTCTTTTCCGCATTTAAGTGACCGATTGAAGTTCAATTAATTCAATAAGAAGCAATTAGAGTTTAACGCAACAATTCACCGCAGACCCTTCTGGAACTAAATAAGAGCAGTATGTGGAACAGTTTATCACTAAGACAGTGATTTTACGAGGATGAGCGGCGATGGCGGAAAACAGCACCAAGATCAGGGGAGCAGATAATGGCAACTGTGCCGACAAAAGACAGAGATCACGAACAATTAGTGGACAACAACTTAACTCACGGAAGCTTTATACTTTAAAATTAACAAACTGGAACTTAAAGAAAACGCTTGTTAAGTTTTATTTGGGGTCATATTTGTATTCAAAACAGCTATTAACAGATGCTTCGTTTCTTGGTTGTAGATAGCAAATGCAATTTTTTGGTGAATAAGGCGACACTAGCGTCGATGTATTATAGCTGTGGCTTTGCTTGGCTGTAAAAAATAACACGTCCTTTGAGAAAGAGGAATTACTACGTTTAGGACAGCATGGTGACTTGCTTTATGTGGTTACGTGAGGATTTCATGTACAGACTACAGAACTCATTATCACTATTGTGTTAGTACTAACGGTAGAAGCCAAACTGAAACCGAGAATTTGAGCCCCTAACAGCTTACAACCATTACTACTACCAATAAATTCACTTCATTGAAATATCTGAGCAAGTGCTAAGGACCAGGGTCCCATAATGGCTTTGCTACCGGCAAATGCGAGTCAGATCACTGATCAAAACAAACTCAAGGGATGCAGCAACGCGACCTTTCTTGCTAATCTGTTTTCTGTTCTGTAATCGAAAACTTCACTCGTAAAAGAACAAAAAAATACTTACCTAGTTTTACAGTAAGCATGAACAGTACGGTAATGTTCAGGGCTAGTGCGATCTTCATTTCCTTGATGCTGAAGCTTGGAATGACTCGTCTGTACCTTAAATTGCATTAAATTGTAAACCATCAACAGTCAGTTGGAAGTGACAAGTGAACAACTGAATTTAGTGACCCTATTTAGAGGATGAAATTAAAGTGGAGAGCCGGATTGGGTTTCCTGTCACCACGTGGTTCGCATGACAGTGAGTGTAATAGGTTTCCTCACGCAACCTCGATTCCTCCCTATCACGCATGCCAATCTGGCGTGGGACGCTCGCGAAAAGTACACGTAAATGTTTGGAATCACTACTCAGACAGGGCGCGCAGGGATTCCTAAGTTGCCTAAATTCTAAATTATTATTATTATTATTTATTATTGACTGATGAACGGAAGTAGTCTTCAATGAAGGAGAAAACTCTGAGCCAAAAAAACCTAGAGCAGTTCGAAAATACCGATTCCTGACTGACTGGTCCTAATCTGTGTTTATCACTGAGGTGATTTTATAGACGCTACCTTTTGCTATACATTATATCTCACAAACAGGTCAAAAACCAAATCCTAACTTTTGAGGCCTAGGGCCAATAGCAGGAAAGCAAAGATGCAGCCTCGTGGAATATATAAAGGGAGGTGGAACTTTCCGCGCAAAACATCTTAACTCTTACGGGTGTTGGCGCGTCCTATAATTGCTCAGCACGTGTGCTACCGAATTTTATATTTTTACTTAATGGTCATCAGCTTATTCGCCAGTTAATGCTTTTCACCGTCACCCCGTGACTATACGTTTTTATCTAAAAGGCTCTCATCAGGAGTTGATGAAATTGATCTCATCAGCCGTGACTTATAAAATGCTCAGAAAAAGACAATGGAAATTGTTTGTGATCGTGCGTTATTGATACATAGATATCATGAGTAACCTACGGAGCCCTGTTAGTGCCATACACGCGCACGTACAGCATTATATTGGGAATGTATTCTTTTGTGTTTATGGCGAACACTTTCTTACCCTTGGCGCGACTTTTTCTCTCTGGCGCGACTTTTTTTTACCGGCGCGACTTTTTTTTCCTCGCGCGACTTTTTCTCAGCGGTGCGACTTTTTTTCTCTGGCGCGACTTTTTTTCTCTGGCGCGACTTTTTTTTGCTGGCGCGACTCTTTTTTCATTAGCGCGACTTTTTCTCAGCGGCGCGACTTTTTTTCGCCGGCGCGACTTTTTTTGCTTTTTCTCTAGCGCTCATTTGTAGACCGCTGCTAGATTTTATTGCGGGCTCAAGTTACGAACACGTGCAGTTGTGAGCAAGATGGCTGACTCGGTTGACTCGGCTGACTCCGATCTAGAGAAGGTAAGTAGCATGTAATTTAGCTCTGAATACGGTCGTATTCCTAAAGGAATTACGAGAATGAATAGCGGGAAGGTAGCTAGTCTTATTATTTCGCTATTTTCTCTGTTGACAGAGTAAATTATTGCTCGAAAAACACAAAGCCTTGCCAGGCTGGAAAAGCACAACAGGCAGAACAAGCTTGATTCTTGCTTTACAGCACCCTTAACAAGTATCTAGTCCTGTAAAAACTTGCAAGAGGTGACAGGCCGCACATCTTCACCGGCGTGAAACCTTTGAAACCTTTTATATATTGCTCCATTGAGGAGACTTCTTTCAGGGATCTTACAGTTTAAAAGTTGAACGATGATATCGCTTATATATAGCGGACCAAGATACGGCTCGGTACAGTTTATGTTCAGCAAGGGAAAATTGTGTAAGTTGAGCAGAACCTTTGAAATGTTCAACAGACAATTTATTCAGTTCGCGCGTATTCCTGTTGAATTTGTAGCCCGTTTATGAGATATGTCTACTCAAAAATATAATAATTTTTCCATAGCTGCTGTTATGTGAGAGTAACTGCTTTAAATTTCTCCGTAAAGTTAAGGTTTACGCGATCTCAGAGAACAATGTTTAGCTGTACACAGCACGTAGTCTTTTTTAAAAAATATATCCAGATCTGACACTGGTTTTCGGTATTTATCACGTCTAAGCATGATTTAATACATTATTATGCTGTGTCCTTTGAATGTCGTCTTAAAACTAAATCGCTTTGTAAATGTCACTTGTAGTTTTAATATCGGAGGAGAGTATTTTAAAGCTCAATATTTTTCAATACCATTAGCATGTTGTTTTTTTACCAATCAATTTGCTATACTTGAAATTTGCTATACTTGAAATTTCTTGTCACGTATAAAAATAAAGTAAGAATCATGCTTGTTATTTTGTGTTTCGGTCCACAATTTACTCTGTCAACAGAGAAAATAGCGAAATAATAAGACTAGCTACCTTCCCGCTATTCATTCTCGTAATTCCTTTAGGAATACGGCCGTATTCAGAACTAAATTACATGCTACTTACCTTCTTCAGGTCGGAGTCAGCCGAGTCAACCGAGTCAGCCATCTTGCTCACAAGTACACGTGTTCGTAACTTGAGCCCGCAATAAAATTTAGCAGCGGTCTACAAATGAGCGCCAGAGAAGTCGCGCCGGCGAAAAAAAGTCGCGCCGGCGAAAAAAGTCGCGCCGGCGAAAAAAAGTCGCGCCGGCGAAAAAAAGTCGCGCCGGCGAAAAAAAAGTCGTGCCGGTGAGAAAAAGTCGCACCAGTGAAAAAAAAGTCGCGCCCTAGAAAAAAAGTCGCGCCAGTAAAAAAAAAGTCGCGCCAGAGAAAAAAAGTCGCGCCAAGGGTAAGAAAGTGTTCGCCATAAAGAAACAAGAATACATTCCCAATATAATGCTGTACGTGCGCGTGTATGGCACTAACAGGGCTCCGTAGTAACCAGTGCTGTTTTTGTACTTTGGTGATTTGATGATTATTTTACACCAAGTAATGATAAGTGGAGAAATGTCAGTTGTCGGTGCCGGAATCTCAGGAAACTTGGCGCTTATTGTGCTCAATGGCTGGCCATTACGTCGCGTCAAGTTGGCCCACCTCTCAAGAGGAATGGCTGTATAAAGCCGCGAATGTAATTATGGAGTTTTGTAAAACCCATTAGTAATAAGTATTCAAGTACAATTAACACTGATTAATTAGGTCGAGCCTAAAACAATAACAGTTAACCTTACACTTGAATGTTGAAATAAGTTCTTTTTGGTCTCTTTTTAAAAAGTAGGTCCAATAATTAAAGGCGAGTAGCATAACATATGTACAGTCTGTTTTTACCATTAATTTATTTTCAAACGCCTTGTTCATATCAGATAATGGTATTAAGTTCACTGCCGCTTATCTTAGAAAATCACTGAAAAAATTCCAAAATTTGAAAATTTGCGTGAAAAAGCAATCTGTTATATATATGGCTGTCAGCCCACGACAAAATTAAATTAGTGATAAGTTCCTGTCATATGTGAAATCTCAATCAAAAATCTCATTTTAATAGACAGGAACTTTTTTAATTCCCTGACCTTTTTCCGCACTTTTAAGGTGGCTGAGTGCAGTTTGGCAGTTTGTGAGTATATGGAATTTGCCAAATCATGGCAAGAGAAAAGTTGCAGCTCACAAGATGATACTTGGGAAGTGAAAAATATACTGATGAAAGATTTTGATTGACAGGTAAAATGTGACGTTGTCTTTGTTTCCATGGCAACATGAACGATTGAATACAACTTAAAATTTCACTTTCGCTCAGTTATCAGAAAATTTGCTCATTAAATTTTCCTGTTAACTTGCATACAGCTTACTATGATTAATCATTACCAATTGAAAATCATTTAACCAAATTTTAACACACTGGTTTTTAGATAATCAAATGAAGTAATGTAATTGTACTGAAATTATAAAATGTGTCACAAAATTCGCCTGTTCAACTTCCATTTCAAAGTTCTCATAAAATACGATAACAATAAAAATTCTGCCAAATATCACAAAATTTTCATGAGTTTATTTTGAGAAATCGTCTTCCGTGAACCATTGCATTTTTTCGCCGCCATGTTTGTTGTTCAATTTAAAACACGCGCCGTCACGCTAGTACCCGCTGACAGTCCGCAAAACTGTGTGTGAGAGGGTCCCCGATGGGATAGTGTTCTTCAATCCCATCATCCTCCCGTGATGCCGATGGTCATTTTTGGTATTTCGCTCCCCGTGCAAACTTTAAAAATCCCGCATTCCGACCTTCAAATAAGGTGGGGATCCCGAATCCCGCTAAACTGCCCCTGATTGGGAACACTCAAGTTAAGTGTTTGAAATCCCCAAATTATTTACTTTGACCATTCAAGAAAGATGTCAAGGTGATCGTTGTTTGATAGCATATATAAAAGCATTCTGAGCTTCTTCTAACTGTTTGACCGTTTTCAGCGACCATTCAATAAATCGAGCAGTCAACATCATCTTCCAATATACACGGTAGGACTTTAATTATTATCACGGTTTCTAGCCAAGAGATATTTGGCGCTTTCGGTTGAGGATCGTTGAGGCCCTCGCTTTTTTCTGACGTACGTTCACCTGAAGATGATTCTTGGCAATCGATGCTTGTGTAATGTAACCCATCCAAATGTTTGGTTTCATACTCATTTTTATTTTGCCTTTTTTTTAAACTTTTGTGATTGAAATCCGTAAAATGTATTTGACTGCCCTTGAATAATAACCTGCTTAAATTTTGGGCTATATCTTATCAAGGGAATAATATTTTACAAATGACGTTTTTCTCCTATCTCTTTTGGTTGTGGTCCATTATCAAGCCTAGTAATAGTAATGTGTATACTAAATATCAGCCGAGATAAATTTCAGTTGCGATCGGAGACCTTTTTTGCGAAAGTCTTTTTAATATTCCTTCCCATGCAGAAAGGTCTTTCACGTTGGAAATGTTTGTTGTTGAAACTAAACTGTTAATAGTTTTGAAACTAATGCAATAAAACTGTAAGAGTCGGTTATATAATTATTAAACAAAGCCCAGCTTAGAGCACGGCTTAAGCAAATTTGCTTACCAGTGAGTTGGTTATTTCAATGTGTCCTTACTCAATGATTTTCAGCGGCGTGTTCGTACTGTAAATGTTTCTCTTGATGCTTTCAACAGCAAACACTGTTCAGATATATCA